GTATTTTGTTTTTGGATGAAATGAAAAAGGCAGTCAGTACAGCTTTTAAAGAGTTCTGAGCAGTGTCTAGCATGTAACACTTATTTCATTAATAAATAAAACAAAATAAATGAATTTGTTGATATATATTTATCTATATATATATATCTATATCTATCTATCTATCTATATATACATATATATATATATATATATATATTAAAGAAAAAGATTCTTTTAGATATTTTTTATGTTTGTATACTTTGGGAGGAATTGATAGCTAGGTTAACTGTTGTTAAATTTTTTAAAAAAGTAAAGAAATTAATTTTTTGGAAAGTTTACTTTAGAAAAAATAGTGAAGCAAACTACTTTGGCATTGAAGTGTTAACATTGGGCAACTCCAGTATTCTGGCAGGGTAGTAGTCTTCAAGAATGTAATAAATCTGAGTTTCTTATGGCAGTTAGTTCATTGGTAATATGGTATTATCAGTTTTGCAAAAATTTCCCACTGAAATGTGTCTTATTTAGTCATATATTTATCAGTTTTGATTAGTACAAGATATTATATTTTTATAAACAATTGTCTAGAAACCTGATAAAAAGTTATTTCTGAGTTAATGAGAGCTCTTTATAATATTAGCCTTCAAACAAGGTGCTTGGCATCTACTTTCTCCTGATGTCATATATATACTGCATGTTCCTCTATAACTAAAAAAATATTTATAAAAAGAAGTTAATTGGATTAGAAAAGGGGAATGAAGACAAAAGAGGGGGTGGGAATAGGAAAGAAAGTAGAATGAATTGGATATAACTTTCCTATGTACATATATGAATACACAACCAGAAAAACTCTACATTATGTACAATCATAAGAATGGGATCCTAATTAGAATAAGTTATATTCCATGTATGTATAATATTTTAAAATACACTCTACTGTCATGTATATGTAAAAAGAACAAAAAATTCTTTCTCAGTAGCAGAACAATATTAAACTAGTTTCCTTCAGTAAAATTTCAAGTAAAAAAATCAATTTATGATAGTATTTTGAGAATCACACCAAACCTAGCACAGGGCAACAAAACAGTAGAAATGGTAATTTAACTAGGTCCTCATTGAATCACTGGATATTTGTGGGAGCCCACAACTGTCAGACACTCTGGAAAGAGCAAAGGTACAATTATGAGCAGACATATTGTGCTTGTGTTGTTTGGAATTGCTGGAGGACAATGATGAAATGATACCAAATACATATACACATCCATATATATAATTATCAATTTTGAAAATCCATGGGGTAAAAAATGAACAAAGACAAGAAATATTTTCCTGGAGGAGTCTCATGTCATTGGCATGACCTGTAAGGAGAGAATTGGTAAAATTCAGGGAGAATTTCCCAGGGATACAAATGCATGTGTGGGGGCCTGAGCTAAAAAGGTCCTTAACCTTCTTCTCATTTTCCCAGACAGGAGGAACACTGTCACAGGAGCACAGTGAGGAAGAATGGCAAGCAACACAACCCAAAACATAGGCCTAGTCCTGATTGTGCAGCCTCCTGGAGTTTGTGATGGGCAAATGCCCAAGCAAACCATGGCTGTGTCAACCAGTAGTTGCCTTAACATTGAATGTGGAGTTAGGCCTAGTTGTGTCCTCAGCAGTGCAAAAAGCATCACTTTATACAAGCAGACTTAGATAGCAATAGTTGTGAGAATCATGATTTAAAAATGGAATTGACCATAAACTATTTGAAGAAATAGTCTTCTAGACTGGTATTCTGAATCCTCTTTAAACACAGGTACAAATATGTAGCCCTGAGTAAACTTGCAGAGCTCAGACTAGGGTAAAAAGCAGCTAACTACATTTATTGATTACCTACAATGTTGACTACATGGTACAACTGTCTGATTTAATGTTCATAGCTATCCTTTGGAGTGAGTATCACCCCCCACCCCATTTTAAAAATAGTACATTGAGTCTCAGGGAAGGTAATAAATTTCCAAAGATAAATGAAAGGAAGGCATAGGATTCAAATGTTTGTGTCCTCTAAATTTGTGAAATTTCTACTGGATCATACCTAAGTGCAATAATTCTTCAAAGGTCACAGCCTGAAGAACAAACTTGGACATGAAGAACAAACTTGCACCATCTGTTCTTTATTCATAAATTCAGGCATTTGAACATTTGAGCATTTGCTTGCTGTGCATATAGATTGAATAAGGTATTGTGTTGCCATGGGGGAGAAGAGAAGATAAAGTGAGAAGAGGGAAGTTATACAAAGACACATAGGGCTCAGGACCTGCCTCAAAGACTTACATTAGGCAATCTATGTCTTATATATACATTATTATAAAAGTACAGCATGTGTTGTTTAAGATTAATTGCTGCTATGCCCTGAAAATATGTAGGATATTGGTGGACATACAAGTCCACCAGAAGGCATTCCGAAAAGAGATCTTTCATTATGGGGGTGGGGGGGGGGCATTTGCTCTAACGCCATTTCCAATCCTCTCTTCTCAAATTAGCCAAAATAGGAGAGAATAGAGTGAATGGTTCTGAACAGAGACCAGTGGTTGGTTAAAGAAGTCTTGGATTGAATTTAATATAATCAATTCCTAAGCCCTTGATATGATTTCTTCTCACTTTCTCCTTTCATCTTTATGTCCAATAAATCTAACAAAGACAGAATGAAGTAAGAAGAACTATCCCAGACTCTTCCATCCAGCCTATTACTTTGGGGGGGGGCGTGGGGGTTGGGGGTATCTAAAAATACACAGTACATTGGGACTACTGAGTTGCTTAGCTTGATAGGATGCAATAGAGGAAGCGGAGATAAGACCCAATGATAGAGGCCTTGAATATTGAGTTATGGAATTTAGATTTTCTATACAGAAAATCTTGAATCTTGAGTTGTATGTGTATGTTTATGTAAATAATTTCCTAATTAAAAGAAATATGTTGAGATGGAATAATATTTTTTCCAATTAAACAAATAAATCTTATACTAGAAGATATTAAGGGTCATTGTTATTTTTGTTTTTAACCTCCCTTCAAGAACAATTATATACTCAGTCTATTGTTTCCCCCAGATTATTTTTGTAATGATATTGTTAGGGGAGTTAATCTCAAAATTAATCTGAACAAGAGTCAACTAACAGTCCAGCCAACATTTGACCTGTCTAAACAAAAATCTGCATATTCCAACTGTCCCTCTGACCAGAATTCACTTCCTCCTCCTTTTCACACAGGAAATATTCTGTCCTGGTGTTTCCTTTGATATATAAGGTCAAAGAGTTAATTGCTCTCACTTTTTTTTAAGAGCATGCTCAACATGGACTTTTTATATTTCCCTGAAGCCCAGCCATCTTCCAAGTCAGATTTTAATAATATCTTGACCCATAACCTTTTGTTTCAAAATTGGTTTTGGCAGGAAATCAAAGGTAGGGGAGTATCTATATTAAATATTGATTTTTTAAGGATTTCTTTTCATTTTGCCCTTTCTGCCTTCCTCTCTTCAGAAGTTGACAGAAGATCTAATGAAAGGGTTAAAAACCCCTTTTAAAACTCCATCCTAAAATTTCCTCTTTCATTTATCTTTATTTACTTTTCTATGGATTATAATACTACTGTGTAGGTAACATTTCATCTCAAAAGTATAAGTGTGTCCTACAAGTATTTTAATAAAATATATTGACTTTCAATTTTGACTTTGAGATGTTCTATCAAGCAAGAATCCAATCTAAAATAAAATGCAATTTGAAGAAATAAATTTGGGATTTATATTAATTTCATCTTATTTCATAATAATACTAGCAGTTTCCATCTGTTATTGAGTGCCTTCCTCTGCCAGGCACTGTCTTACAGATGATACAATATACTCCCTGGGAAATCCATGTGACGGTGATGGGCTGCATCGTGTCCCTTCTAGATTCATTATTAAAGTCTTAAGACCAAATTTGACAGAATTTGGAGATTAATTTGGTAATTAGGGTTAAATGAAGTCATAAACATGGGTCCTAATCTAATAAAATCAGTGGTCTTAAAAGTAGAAGAAAGGGAGAGAGCTCTCCCAGCACAAGCACTGAGGAAAGGCCACCAGAGAGGACATGGAGAAGTCCTGTCTGCAGGCCAAGAAGAGAGTGCTCACCAGAGCTCCACCATGCTGGAGCCCTGATTTTAGGCTCCTCAACTCCAGATTATGAGAAAAATCAGCTCTGTTGTTTCAGCCATGGAGTCTATAGTATTTCACACAGCAGCCCACATTGACTGATACAGGCAAGGACTGTTCCCATTTTGTGGATTAGGAAACCAAGTAAGATGTCCATGGCAAAGCTGACATTTGAACCTGAGTGTGTCTGACAACAAAAGCCTATTGCTTAGATTCCCATCTGAAATGTTGAGGCAGAAAATAATGAATAGATATTTAGATAGCCTTTAAAAAAATTCCCAAACCTTTTGGCTGTGTTCAGGTTTTTATTTTACAGGTTTAACACACATACACAAAACCAGTGCATTATTCTCATTTTTCATTCTTATCATCTGTTTTTTTTTTTTTTTTTGTGTGTGTGTGTGTGTGTACTAGCAGGGTGTTATTATTTGAGCTCTCAGAATTCCATGTTAATGTTGAAAAATGTAGCCAATCTTCCTGAAATTGCAATGTTGAAAAAAATCTGAGGTTTACGAGTGCTGTATTTGCTTTTTGTAAAACATATTAAATGCAAAATATCCAGTGTTGTGCCTGAAACTAATTGGCAGTGTCCCATTAACCATATTAAAATTAACATCTATTAATTGGATTAGAAATTCAGTGAGAATGACAGCTGCTAGTGCCTTTTACAGTTACTGTGTTTCTCTGCAATCCGTATGGCAGAAATCACATAACGCTTTTTTTTTTTTCCTGTGGAAATACACACTTAAGATAAAAAGGTTGACTTGATGAGATTAGGGAGTAGGCATTTGTTATCCTTCCTTTCTTCCCTTTTTTTCCCATAAAAGCTGAACTATCTTGTTTTTCCCTTTCACAGGTTTTCACCAGCTATATTTTTATATCTGATTAACATCGTTCCATCATTGTGGCTCCTTGAAATGCATCATGGGACCCAGGTACTTCCTTTTGGAAATTGGAATATCCAGAGGCAAACTGCTTTCACAGTATGATCTGATTTATTTCAGCAATGCTCTTTTTCAAGAGACAAATTATCAAAAATAGAATAAAAGGCCATTTATAAAAAGAATGGATTCTGTGATCTGTCAAAAAAAATTAAAATATTATTTCACTTAAAATTTAAGATTACACAATTAATTAACATCTGTGTTAGTGACTGTGTTCCTCAGACTCCCTCCCTTGCTCCACACATGATAGAATTCATGTGGAAATTTGATTTTGACCCTGGAAGCTATAGGGAGTTGCTGTGTTATGCCAGGAATCTTCAGGTCACAATAATGTGACATCCTGTAAAGTGACATTCTTAGGAATTATAAAACAAAAATAAACCCCCCTTTATCTGTACTTTGCTATGTAAATACATTTGGATTTATGGGGGCTTTTTAAAATACCGTTAATGCAGAAGAAAGGAGATTCTTTTGGGGGGTCTCCTGGGCCATCTTAGTGAAACAGGAAACCTATTCCAGAGCCCTGACATTCAGGCTAAATCGGGGGAAGATGTGGAAACCATACAGAGAAAGGTGAGCTTACATGTATTAGATCGTGAGGACCTAGAAAATAATCTGGCTTCCAATAAGAGTCACTAATCTTCATGTAGAGACTTTTTAATTGAGCAGCTTCCTACACAGACAACTCTAGTCAGCAGGCTTGCATTGGGTTCAGTCACTTACTGTTGATGGTGCTTTTGAGAAACTGAGATGGCCAGCTAGCAAAGCCCTTCAGACTCTAGCTTGGACTTCACAATTCCAGTTACAGGACTTTTGTTACAGATGAATTATGGTTAGTATCTAACATTTTAGTAACTTTATTGATAAATGCTTTAGACAGAATCTCTGAGAATTTGTCCCTGTACAGATTTCTTTGTTATAGGTAGTCATTTAATAGCATGTTTAGGTTATCTAATAATGCTTGCTCCACATTGTAGGCACATGAGAGGGGAATTTAGCTCTGTGGACTATCCTTGAAGAAATCTCCAAGCAAATACAAATAATGAAGCAATAGAGAAACCATTTTCCTCCTTAAATCTTCTGGCTAAAAATCATTAAAGTGATAAACCATCTCTAGTTCTGCACCAAAAGTTTCTTCTTCTTCTTCTTTTTTTTTATAACTATAGATTTGTTGGTTCAAAACATCATGGCTTTTTTGAAAAGTATCATAAGGAGTTAGGGAACTGTTTCAATCTCCTTACTACTTACAATTTTGAAGGGTATGGAAATAAGCTCCCGGTGATTTAAATCAATTTTTTCCCTACATATCCAATTCTATGACATGGCTATCATCCACAATAGCAATTCATTTTACCAAATGCTTTTATAATATAAATGCATTGCACAGTTAATTGATATACAGGTCAAATCCCATTACAACAAATAGCATGCAACCAAAAGCTCTCTTTTTAATAAAAAAAAAAAAAAGATTTTTGAGCCCCGGGCAGTACCTCTCTAATTTTCATACTACAAAAGAAATTGAACCGTTAGTAGTAATGGATTTGACACTGAGAATTAAAATGAATGCTCAGAGATTGAAATGGGCAGTGAGCTAGGATGGAGATGGTAAAAGTGAGAGAGACAAAAATTTTATATATATATATATATATATATATATATATATATATATATATATATATAGTATATATATGTATAGATATGTTTTCTTTCTCATATATATGTATATAAGATTGCAATAATGTGACATGCTGTAAAATGACTTTCTTAGGAATTACAAAACAAAAACAAACCCCCCTTTATCTGTACTTTTATAATTTAAATAGAATCCATATATATATGCTCCCATAAACCCAAAGGCATTGATGTAGCAAAGTACAGATAAAGGGGGGGTTGTTTTTGTTTTGTAATTCCTAAGAATGTCATATATATATACACACATATATATATATATATGTATATATATATATACACACACACATATATATGCATACATATATACAAGAGAAAAAATATATCTATGCATAATTTAAATAGAATCCATATATAGATGGTTTCCGTTTAAAGAAATAAGAAATGGCAGAATAAAGTGAAGTATAGCAAATCCCTTAGCCTACTCATTTAGGAAATTAGGAAATTCTGGTTATGATAATCACTTTTCTTTTTATAGCATTGTATGTTTCAGAGTGCTTTTAGATATATTTTCTCATTTATAATAAGTTAGGCATGGTGTATACATTTCTATTTTATTTTTTTTAAGAGAGAGAGAGAGAGAGAGAGAATTTTAATATTTATTTTTTTTTAGTTTTCGGTGGACACAACATCTTTGTTTGTATGTGGTGCTGAGGATCAAACCCTGGCCGCACGCATGCCAGGCGAGCGTGCTACTGCTTGAGCCACATCCCCAGCCCCCATTTCTATTTTATATAAGAAGACCTTGAGGATCAGAAAGTTTAGGAAATTTTCCTAAGGACACATAGGTAATCAACAGCAGTGCTGGGGCTTATATCCTAATGGACACCCAATCCATTAAACTCCTCTGCCTTTCTCAGTTGTCTATCCTATATTCTAAAGGAGTCTGCATTAGTTTGCATCTGAAGTTTTCATGATGAAAAAGAGTAATTTAATTTCCTTTCACATTTTACCATTTATTCTACATCCTCAATGTTCTAATCTATGATTTGGCGTGAGCAAAACATCTGTTTTATAAAGATGTTTATAAAGATATTTCCCCTAGATATGTTTCATAAAGATATTTCCCCTAGATCACCAATTTGGTACCTTCATTCCAGAAACTAGTGGAATGCATGGAAACAAAACAGCTATGACAAGTGTGACCTTAACCATTAGCGAGATTTGCTTATGAAGTGGCCTCATTAAAGTAATGGAAATGCTCTGGTCTTGATGGTGTCACAGACTGGTTTGACCTAAAGAAATGCTGTGGAAATTATTAAGATATTAAAGGTATAGTTCATGAAAAAATAGCAGGTTGGTACCCAAGTCATCTTCATAGAATCACTATGCTGTGATTAATGTAAACAATGTAACTACAAAAACAATGTAAGTCAGTTTAGGCTGAAGGAGTCAAATCACTTGTTCATTGCTGTCTTTATGTAGGTATACTTAAAGAAAAGTCTCATCAATCTCTAACAAAATAACATAAGTGGAGAGGAACTCAAATAAGTCTGAATACCGTAATATAGAGTGCAAAACTATTTGTTTCCAAGTTAGCTTATACTGTACTAAAGAATGACTTTTTTCCTTAAATAACAAGACAACTGTTGATTTTTAGTGATAAGGATGTCAAAAACATATGAAGGTTACCACTTTTAACATATAATCAATCTGCCTTCACGCCTGCAAACAGAATGGTCAAAATTTGTGTCCCATTGACCAGTAAGTTCTTAGCAATAGTCACAAAACTACTCTGTAATGAGGATTTGGATCTAAACTCAAAAATTAAACTTTTAAATTGCCACTGTTTTTTCTTAGAGTTTTAGTTTCACACACGTACACACACACAAAGTGTGCAAACAGCTATATTTTTGCTCCTAGAGATATGGCAAATGGCCATTTTTAAAAATTATTCTTGTCATTGTCATTTCACCCATAACAGTACTTACTTGGGTGAAGTGCAAAAAACAAAACAAAACAAACAACAACAAAAAAAACCAGCTTCTTGCAAGTCTTTTCTACTTTTTCAAGAAGAGCATAGAAGAATCAATGACTATCCAGTAAAATTTTAAAAAAAGCACGTTATAGCTTTCAATATTTTATCCTCTTAAATAATTTTTCTATAAAATCAAATGTGTAATCATGGCTATGGGGTGGTAATAGTGGTAGTGGTGTGTGTGCGTGTGTTTAAAAAAAAAATTAGAACTGCAGATGTTTAAAAGTTCTTCAACCATTTTTTAAGCCAGTTGATAAAATATGCATGGGTTGTAGCTATGTTTTCAAGTGCTGTCTCTTTCCTCTCTTATATATACTTTTTCCATTTTTATCTGCAAGATAATAATTTTGTGCATTTCACTTGCAGAAATTTACAAGCAAAAAGAAGAAGGAAAGAAAAATTAAATCATCAAATTTCCCATACACCTAAATCAACCTAAAGTTAAAATGTCTGAACCACTGAACATAAGAAAAAAAAATTGTTAGAGTATTTGACAGGAAAGATTCAAAATAATTGGGTCATTTATTTAAGCAGAATGGTGTTTTGGATAATGAGACTTCCAGGTAAGAAAGAAAGTAAGTGTTCTGACCAGGATTACATTGTTATGGCTGTTGGTTTGTATTATACTTATTCCAGGGTTCAGTAAAGGGATTCCAGGTATCAGTTATCAATTCAGCCATTCTCATGGTCACTCAGAGAGTCTGTGTCCTCAAGAGCCTCAAAGACATGTAGTTACCCCCCTTCACAAATTAACTGAAAAGGGGTTTTCTATCTCAAGTCTGTATTCAGATATTAGTAAATGCTTATGTGTTATGTATAAGCATCACATATCTGCTCATAATATCTTGGATAGATTAAAATCATTTCAAACTCTACCTTATTGCCTTTTTTTGCATATTGATACCACCACAATCATTTTTAGTATTGTGATGTTCAATCTGAAGGACTGTCACAGAACATCAGTAGAAGAGAAGACACTGATCCCACCCTGATGTCTAAGGAGAAAGTCAATGGAGTGAATATCATTGAGACGGTGAGAGCTTTTCCTACCATTTATGAAAAGATCTATCAAACATCTATCAAACAGTTGGACTTCATGAGCATAATGAGCAGTCCATTTCTAGTTTATTCTTCCCTAAATACGTTTGCCAATTTAATTGTTTGGGTCAGAAAATTCACAAAATAATTGTATGTTATCTATTTTTAAACATTTTACATAGTATATTTTAAACATTTTACATAAATTTAATACTGTATATAACCTACAGTATTAAAAGACAATTCAGATACTATATAGTGGAGATATATACACTGAAATATATGCTATTCTAATATTTTAATTATATCATTCACACATTTGTATTCTAATTTTATACATATAATTTTTTTAAAAAGTATTTGTTTTTCAGAACAGTTTAGGTTCACAGTTAAACCAAGAGAAAGGTACAGAGATTTCACATTTGCCCTTTGCCCCCAAATATGCACAGCCTCCCCTACCATCAACATCATGCAGCAGAGTAGTATATTGGTTAAAAATTGATAAATCTACATGGCCATCTCATTATCACTAAAAGTCCATTGTTTACACTAAGGTTTATTCTTGAAATTGTACATTCTATGGGTTCAGACAAATGAATAGTAGCAGGTGTCTACCATTATAATATTATACAGAGTATGTTGACTGCCCTAAAAGTCTTGTGTTCATTTATTCATCCCTCTCCTTCCTGCCAAGTCATGACAGCCATTGGTCATTTTACTGCCTTTTTAGTTTTACCTTTTCTATAATATTATGTAGGTGAAATCATCAAATATATAGTATTTTCAGACTTGATACCTTATTTCATTTTAGTGCTGAATAATATTTCATTGTTCAGTTTATTTATCCATTTGGTTACTGAAGGACATCTTGGATAAGCATTTTGTAGTTTCTTCATGTATATATAATGTGTGTGTGTATGTGTGTGTGTGTATTTTCCTCTAAATATTTCATTAGGTTTATACGAAAATATTTCATTTTTGAGGGGGATAATGCAAATGATATTGCTTTTTAAATTGCAAATCTAATTCTTTACTAGTATATAGGAAAAAGTTTGACTTTTGTATATCAACCTTTATTTTGCAAATTTGCTTATTATAGGAAATTTTTGATGAATTTCTTAGGATTTTTTACATAGACAATTTTGTTTTCTGTGAATAAGAATAGTTTTATTTGTTCCTTACCCATGAGTATACATTTTATTTCTTTTTCTTGTCTTATTGAACTAGCTTAGACTTCCGTCCTATATTATTTGTTTAAGTATGTTAGAAAGGAGTTTTAGCCAACATAGAATGACTTTCTTTTTCTTCAAGGGTTTGGTATTTGGCAAAGCCATCATGGCCTATTTCAAAGTGGTATAAAAGAAAAAGAATCAAAGAATCCCTATCACTGAAACATGTTCTTGAAAATAATATATTGATTTTGTCAGTAAGAATAGAATTAACTTGGGTTTTAATTCTAATTCTAATCCCAATTTATCTATATCATGTTGGACAAGTTACTTAGTCTCTCTCAGTTTTTCATCTGACAATTAAAAAATTAATATCTTTCCTGCTAGTGTTGTTCTTTTGTGAATTAAATAAGATGTATGTGAAGTTTCATATAAAAATATAAAGAAGTGTACAAATGAAAGACTCTTGACCTTGCATGATTTCAATCAGGTCAGCATCTGCCTTTTCTTTTATTCTCCCTGTACTTGTTCATTTGATATCAATAAGTGATCAAGAGGAATAAGTGATCAAGAGAGATAAGTGAGCAAGAGGGGGTAGATTTTGCACAAAAATATTTAAGTCACTTGCATAAATAAGTTTAAATTGTCATTCTTAAGACCTAAGACCTAGTAGTCTTTAAAACTTGTAACATAATAAGGTCAAAATATACTTTAAATTTTATTTAGAAGGTAAATGGGCAAAAGAGTTCATAGGAAATGTATTAGTAGGATATAAATTTTTCTGAGTCTAAGAATAATGACAGACTAAAATTTGCTTGCTAATTTAAAACTTATTTTATAATATGTTAAATATTCAGAATAAAAATAATAACTGCTATTCTCTTTCTTAAGATAACATGATAAACATTATTACATTTTTGCTGTCTTGATAAGATACAGTTTTAAGGCAATAATAAATGAAAGGGAAGACTGTACCATGCTAAAAATATCTTCAGGTTAGTAAATTCAGATTTTAAATCTGCAAAAGAAAACTATAGGACTCCTTTTGTGATTTTAATATGGAATTTATAAAATTTTGCTATGTATTATACTTTGTTATAGAGTATAATATAATGAGCAATGATCTTTAAAACATTGTAAAATTGGCTCTTTAAATATCATATGTGCAATCTCACTCAGAAGTATAAGGTTTAAATTACTTGCTAGTTGTAGCCTTACCTTAAGGCCCACGTTAGAGGTATATTTCTTTTTTCTGTGTTCAGCAGAACAGTGTTATTTTCATTAGTAAGAGAAGGGTTAACTCCTGAATACATCTACAGATGCAAACTAACTTGAAAGCTGTGGTGAAGAAAACATCTCTCTACAAGCTCATAATCCTTCTGTCTGACATTTCTGTTAAACAGGCCAAAGTTTTTGTACATAACTTATCTGCAGTATGTGAGACGACTTGGACTTTGGGACTTCATCAGACATTCCTGTTACTGCTAATAATTGGAAGATGGCTTCTACCTATTGGAGGTACCATCACTCGAGACCAGCTCTCAGAACTTCTCCTTATGTTTGTGGGAACAGCTGCTGACATACTGGAATTTACCAGTGAGACTCTGGGATTAAATAATGTGAGGTAAGTACTGCAGTGCTTCTTTTCAAGGCTAGTACCATGCACCTCTCTTTCTGTTATTTGTATCTCATATGAACAAGAATTTGAGTATTTCCTGTGTTCAATGTTAAGATAGTACAATTTGTAGCTATTTAGATACATGCTTGGAACTGATATGATGTTTATAGTATTACTACTACTACTACCACTACTACTACATAAAGGAGATTTCTACCAGATAAAAGGACGCATAATATGGCCTGTGGATGAGAACAGAAAAGCTGTGCATGCTTGTATGACTATAGGTCAAGTGGGGCCATTTTATAGGGAAAACTTCTGTAGTGGAAAAATCATCCCTAATTCCTCTTTCACATTACCAAGTACCAGGAACTGATTGTAAAATCCTCTTCTAGAGCACAGTGTAGCTGTAATTCCAAAAGACATGGAGAACTCTCTCTCTTCTTCAGTTGGAGAATTTACATTCCCTTGTGTGGATGTAGAATGGGGAAGATGAAGTTTTATTTTACAAAATTTTATTTTTAGTCAGTTTTGTTCAAAGCGCCCAAAGGCTTTTTGGTGTAGATGCCTATAAATTAAAACTTATTGAGTTGGTACTTTTATTTTTGCCACAAGCAAATAAACTCAGAATCCATGATCACATCTGTTTATGGAACTACTTTCTACCCATTAGGGATTTAAGTCTCAGTGTCTGAATGTACTTTAAGCTTGGGTTGTTTTGCACTATGCTATAAAAATAAATTGGAATGAGGCTGGCTTTTAATGCTACAGTTTACTTTATGCTGTGTTTCTCAAACAACATAACATAAAGCTGAGCAAAATATATTAACTTATTGAGTAAACTTAATATCTCAATTATAGTACAAATTATATTTATAACCATTGGTTATCTTTACAAGATCATTTCTTGTTTCATTTATATTAATTTTTCTTTTCGCTCATTAAGTTGACATATTCTTTTAAAAAGAATCAGGTAGCAGAATACAACAGTTACTAATAGGGCATTATGTAAAAATGTGGATGTGTAACCGATGTGATTCTGCAATCTGTATTTGGGGTAAAATTGGGAGTTCATAACTTGAATCTAATGTATGAAATATGATATGTCAAGAGCTTTATAATGTTTTGAACAACCAATAAAAAAAAAGAATCAAATCTAAATTGGTACAATGTCTTCAAAGTGTTTATTTCTGTAGTTTTAATGCCTTATATTTTGTCTGTGATTTACACTGTATAATTTATTTTTAAGTAGTTTAATGATAATTATAACACAAAGTGATTCTAAGAAAAATGTGAAACTATCATGACAAATCACATAAAAATAATAAATATCTACAGTGACAGGGATATGACAATACAAGGATAACAAACTATAGCTTTCTAGAAATAAATATATACATGTTAAATATTTAGGGAAATGGGGGGGGGTATGTTTTACAGGCTAGTCATAAAAATTGAGAAATACCAAACTGAATTATTAGACTCTTTATGAGTCCCATCCAGAAATGACATCAAGAAGCAATTTATAGATCTGTGGTTGCCAATAAATGTTGACTATTAAATAAGTTTATTTAATTCCCCAGTCTCAAAAAAAAAAATCTTTGAAAATCACGAGGCCTTTATTCACCAACAATGGATTTGTTGGGTAACATGTGCCAGGCAGGGTGCCAGGCAGAGAATGGGTAGCACACAGTGGGTGAATGGTGAAGCAAGTGCTGCATGAAGGATGCTCAGTTCTACCCAAAACAAGTCTATTTCAACTCAGTGAGGTTTTAGGTAACACATGATATTTCAGGATATTTAAATCCCCTGATTCCTTTCGGGGTCTACATATCGCTCTGAATACTTTCACAAATGTATATTTTTAAAAATTTTTAAACATGTATCATATTCCAAGCAAGCTATATCTACAGGTTCTACATATGCAGATAGAAAATATTTTAAAATGTATATATAGTGAACATATTCAGACTTTTTGTCTGGTCATTTTTTTTTCCTAAACCATACAGTGCAGCAACTATTTACATAGCATTTACATTATATTAGGTATTGTAAGTACTCTAGAGATGATTTAAAGTATATGGGAAAATGTGCACATATTATCTGCAAATAGTATGCCATTTTATATAAGCTTTAGTGTGTTTAGTGGCCTTTTGTAATCTCTATTCTACTCCCATGTACCTCCATTACTCAAATATCCTCTACACCCAAAGTCAAGTCCTAAAGTATATCTAGAATTTTTCCTGTCTCGTAAAAGCCAGGTTCCAGGGTCTGATTTCCTGTCTCAAGTCCTGCCTTTACTGCAAGAATTGACACTGTGAAATGTCTGTCTTTCAAAGGAGATCTTTAATCTTTTCCCACTGGGACTTAGCTTTCCCCCTTTATCAGGGAGAATAAAATTAATGTTTAAGTAAAAGATATTTATAATAAATTGGTTACTTCATTGTGGTCTGTTCAGCATAGCTTGTTATTATGACATTTTATTTTCTCTTATTTTATTCTATATTTTGAGTTGACATTTTTAGGAGAAAGCCTACAATACAACAATGAGGGATGAGAACTACATTACAAATATGCAAATATGTCATTTATATATATATATATATATATATATATATATATATATTTTAATTTTTATATTTTTATTTGAGAAAGGGTCTCGCTGTTTTGCTGAGGTTGTCCTGGAACTCACAAGTACTTGGGATCATAGGAGTGCACCACCATGCTCCACCCAAATCTCTTTCCTATATTGTAAATAATATGTCAGATATCATTTTTTTAAAGAGAGAGAGAGAGAGAGAGAGAGAATTTTTTTTTAATATTTACTTTTTTTTTTTAGTTCTCGGCGGACACAACATCTTTGTTTGTATGTGGTGCTGAGGATTGAACCCGGGCCGCACGCACGCCAGGCGAGAGCGCTATCGCTTGAGCCACATCCCCAGCCCCTCAGATATCATTTTTGAAGAATAAATCAATTTACTCCTTTGGCACAACTGAAGTTCATCTGATTAATTTTATGAATTTATCTAGGTGTCTAAATCTTATGATCTTACAATTTTTTTCTAAGCTGAATTTTTAATTCTAAGGTCTAATGATATTATCAAATTATAAATTTGTGGCACCATAAATAAAATCTAGATTTAGAATATTCTCATTACTCTAAAAAATATTATAGCTTTTTGCCATCAATTTTCACTTCTGCCACCCACCATAAGCAACCACTAACCTACTTTCTGCCTGCACAGATCTTTGTTTTAGAAATTTCATGTAAATGGAATTATAAAATATGTATTCTTTTTTGTCTTTGTTTTTCATTTGGCATACTGTTTTAGGGTTCATCCATGTTAATCTGTCTGGTTCTTGTTTTAATTGTTGCATACTATTCCATTTTATGCATGTGCCACATTTGTTTATTTGTTTAGTGGATATATATGTGCATTACTTATAGCTTTATGCTATTAAGAGTGATGTTGCTGTGAACATTCATTTATCAACATTTCCATATGTTTTCATTTCTCTCCCATAATTACCTAGAAGTAGAAGGACTAATTTTATTTTAAGTGCATATTTAACTTTTTAAAAAACTTTCAGTTTCTAGAGTAGCTTTACCATTTTATATTCCCAACCAGCAATGTATGATAGTTCTATTTTCTCCATATTCTTGCTCAGACTTTTTTTTTCATTGTGGCTCTAATTTGTATTTAACAATGAACATTATTCATTATCTTTGCACATGCTTATTAGCTACTTATATATCTTTATTGAAGTGCCTATTAAAATTTTTGCCCACTTTATTTTGTGAAGGAGTGTACCAAGGATTAAACCATGGGGTATTTAACCAGTAAGCCATATCCCCCAGACCTTTTTATTTTTTATTTTGAGACAGGGTCTCACTATGTTGCTGAGGCTTTGAAGTTGTGATCCTTCTGCCTCAGCCTCCCCAGTCGCTAGGATTAGAAGTGTGTTCCACCAAGCCTAAAAAATTTTTGTTCATTTAAATTGGATTATTTTATTATTGAGCAGTAAGAGTTTTAAAATATATTCTAGATACAAGTCCTTTATCGGTTATATAAATGCAAACATTGATACCCATCATTCCACTTATTTTTATAATGTTATCTTTTGAAGAACATAGTTTAAAAATTTTGATGTCCAAAGCTGTCAATATTTTCTCTTTTCTATCATGCTTCTTGGTGTCATATCTAAGAAATAATAAATTAGAAATTAAAAATTAAAAATCAAAAATACCTTCTTTCAATTTTTTAAAGGAAATTTAAAAATTCTTTCATTTATTTTTATTGTCCAGTTTGACTTCATTTTTGTATAATGTGAGGTAAGTTTCCAACTTGCTTTTTTTTTTAATATTGTCATTGTCCCAGCCCTGTTTGTTGCCCAAGCTGGGATTAATTGTTCCAACAATATTTTTTTTAAATATTCTTTTCCTGTCACCTTGCCTTGGCATCTTCATCAACAATCAATTGACCACAGATGTTAAGCGATTTTGTCTGGACTTTTTATTGTGTTCCATTAAACTACATGTTTGTCTTTATACCAAAGCCATACTATCATGATTACTGTAGCTTTACTGTCACTTTTGAAATGAAATACTTGAAGTCTTCTGACATTACTTTTCATAAAAAAAATGACTTAGCTATTCAAGGTCTTTTGCATTTCCTTCAAATTGTCATGATTATCTTATTCAGTTCTAGCAAAAGCAAACAAAATAAAAAGAAAAATTTGTGGCCTTGATAGGAAATAACTAAATCAGAGGGTAAGTATGGGAAGAGTTGGTATCTTGTCAATATTATGTCTTGCAACTGAAACATCTCATTTTTGTTTTAAGATGTTCCCTAATTTGTCTTAGTAACATTTTGCTATTTTCAATGTACAAGTCTCACACTGCTGTTCCAAATGTTTTTCTCCTAAATATTTTATTTTTTGAATGCTCTTGCTACACAAGCACTTTATTAATTTCATGTTCATATTTTCATTGCTATATAGAAACA